CAGTGGAGCTGTGCTTGGACGGACAGGCACGGATGCCTGTGGAGATGCTGGGCCGCTTTCCATTCTGGCTGATGGTCTTTCAGAGCAGCGGCTGTGTCCTCAGGCACATCTGTGTGGAGCCACCACAGCCGTGTGGGGCCATGTGTGTGTTTGATGTGGCTCCTCCTGGGGTTCATGTGGCCAGAGTAGGTGGGGAGGCTCCCAGGAGGAGATGGGAGGGCTGGCCCCACTCCCAGACAGGCTCCTGTGAGGCAGGTCACGCGTGATCCAGCTGGGTCTCTGCCTTCCTTCCTGGACATTTCCTGAGTGCCTGCCGGTGTGTGTAGTGGAGTGGGGGGCCTCTCACGCTTCTGACTGAGATGACGGGGTTTCCTGCCCTGTGCTGTGTGACCTTGGGCAAGTTACTTAACCTCTCTGTGCATCTCTGTCTTCTAAGTGAGGATGATGAGAGTACATTGCCTTATGGTGTCAACTCACAGGGTTGTTTGAAGATTAAATGAAGTAATATTTGGAAAGTGCCTAGCACGGCAGCTGATACAGCAGAATGCCTTATGTTTACCTAGCCTTCAAGGTCATCCTTAGAGAGGTAGCCGTGCCCGAGCCGTCCCAGGCCAGCTGTCCTGCTAATAGAATGGTCCTGCTGACGGGCTTTGTGTGTGCAGTCCAGAGATGTCTGTTTTCATTAAGGAAGGGGACTTGGACACCTCCCTGTTTGAATCAAGGGCTCTCTGAATGCACAGCGCAGGCCCCAGTGTGCTCCACGTGATGATGTCGATAGCATTTCACTCCCCTTCCGCGCCCGTGACCGGTGATGGGGATAACTATGCAAGTGTTTCCTGAACACCTCCGACCTGCCAGGCAGTGTGCTGAGGGCGTTACGCGCACTCTCATCTCATTCTCCCAACAGTCATGTGAGCCAGTGAAGGAGACGGCCATGGAGTATGTAAGGCACCCTGTAAGTAGTGGCCACTGCAGAGCTCCAGCTCTTAGCCAGTTGTGCAGTGCAGTGGCCTGGCACGTGGGTGGACCCTGGTACCCCCAAGCCAACAGCCTTGCTTCTGGCATGGGAGATTTCTGACTTGCAGGACTTTGAATCCGCCCCTCCCTTTTTAGTGATTTAAACGTGGTATGGTGTGTCTCCTTCTTGGAAGGTAGGTGGCTTGTAGAGAAAACTAAGCCACCAGTCTTGCTAAAAGAATTCTTGTAACTACTCTGGCTTTAACCTGGGTATGGCTGGTACCTTCTACTCAATGGACCGTAAGTTTGTCCCGTCCCCCTGGATCAGATTTTGTTGCTGCGTATGCAGTGGCGCTCTAAACATGAGGCCATCACTGACCTAGAGATACCTGACAAGCTGTCACTGGATGAGTGAGGAAGACTGTCTGGCACAGAGCCTGAAATACTAGCACGTTAGTCTTTACACCTTCCCCAGGCGCTCTGGGCTTCTGCAAACAGGACAGAGTGGTCATGGTCCCAGGAATGATCTTGGCCTCCTTGGGGCAGTCCTATGCCAAAGCCAGTATTCAGAAAGAAGATTTAAGATTTGTTGAGTGGCCCAGCCAAGGTATAAATCCAAACTGTTGGTACAGAACCTGCACCATGAATAGCTGTGCTGTAAGGCCCTGATTTTCTGGTTCAGAAAAAGCTGCTGTTTAAGCTGAGTTGGACCTTGAAGAGGGCCCACTCGTAGCGTCTGATTATTCTGCTAATGGAGCCAATACCCGGGGGGTCTGTATCCACAGTAAACCTCCCAGATACGGAGTTGTCCTGGGTAGAACGTCTCTCTTCCCTGGAAGAGGACAGGCAAAGCTTGGCTTGATCCAGAACCAGTGTCTTCTTGCTAACATGTGCACAACATTAAAACCATCAGGGTTTGCCGTAGCGACTTTGGGAGCTTTATCTGCTCTGTACCTGCACGTGTGGGGTCCACATGTGGCAGGAGAACTGGTGTGCAGGTGGATTTGGCCGTCACCTATGCCCCACCTCCAGAGACCTCTAAGGCAGTGGGTATGCAGCCAGGGAAGAGTGGAGAGGGCAGGGATCCTGGGGCTCCCCTTCACGAAGAGATTCCCTCTTTTGTGTCTGGCCAGCCTGCTTGTCTAACTCTCTTTTTGTGGTGTCCAGGGGACTCAGCCCAAGATGGTGATGGAGTACTGGACGGGGTGGTTTGACTCGTGGGGAGGCCCTCACAATATCCTGGATTCTTCTGGTGAGTGCTTGCAGTTACTACATCCAGCATGTGTGCTACTTAAGAAGTGAGGATGAGTTTCAGTCACCGGCTAACGAATGTAGGTCAGCCATAGGGGTGCAAGGCTGCTGGGATTATCTGTGTGCAGAAGTTGGCTCTGGATATTCTTGAGTCATTTGTCTTGACACTTTGATGAATGGGAGGGCTTTTTAGCATTGCTTGTTCGTGTTTTTGTAATTAGAAGGGTAATGCATGCCTATTGCAAACATCCAGAAAATACAGAAAAAGTATAGAGAAGAAATAAAATTCCCAGAGCCCAGAGAACATTTAGATGTATACCATGTAGGCAGTTCTCTGTGTATCTGTACCGACAGCTCTATACGCCCACACAGAGAGATAGATGCAGCCATGCTCCGCTGCATGGCACCTGCTTGTACCGGTGAATGCACATACGGACCGCTTTCTGTATGACCAAATACAGACTTACATGACTGCTTTAAAGAATGTGAAGAGCCCCGTTCTAAGCCACGCTTCGTGGACACAGTCTCTCGGGCCGTTTCGGGTGGTGGTTAAGCGCACGCCATCTCGGTGAGCGTCCCGGAGCCCGCGCTCTGCGCACCTGGCGTTCCCGGTGGCCCTCAGCGCCTGTTCATGCGCATGCGCACCCCTCAGCCCCGGAAAGACGGCAGTTTCAACCGCTGCTGCCGAGTGGATGCACCCATTTCCCACAGATTCAGCAACGCTGAGTATTAAAATAACTTTTAATATTGGTCTACTCAGTACATCATTGTTTAGTCTGCGTTTCTTTGATTTCTATTAATAAAATATATATTTATTAAACCACTGGTTTTTCTCCTTTGCTATGGTCTTGTCATGTCCTGGTTGATTTCCTAACAAAGGCAGAACAGGGAGGTGCCAGAGTTTTCTCTCTAGGGATGCATCCATCTGTGTGCATTTGATACACCTGGTCGGGCAGGCTCACATGGGGATCGCGCTGGCTGCAAGGCCCTGGCCGCCCTGGGCTGCAGGTGGTCCACATGGAGCTCAGAGACTTGACCAGGATTTACAAACAACTGGAGGCTCGAGCTCTGGGGCCATGATTCTGGCCCACACGTCCTCCACCCCTAATCTTCTGTGATTGGGGTTTTAGTGAGAGCTAGGAGGACAGAGTGACAACGTTGGCCTTGAGGTGGGACTGGGCAAGAGGAGAGTAGTGAAGGGACCCCAGCTCATCTCAGACTTTAACTCACTCTGCACATCCCCTTTCTCCCTCCTCCGGCAGAGGTTTTAAAAACCGTGTCTGCCATTGTGGACGCCGGCTCCTCCATCAACCTCTACATGTTCCATGGAGGCACCAACTTTGGCTTCATGAATGGAGCCATGCACTTCCATGACTACAAGTCAGATGTCACCAGCTATGGCAAGTATTCATCAACACTGCTCTCCCTGGTCTGCCGTGCATGGGCATGGCTGGGGCTTGCTATGGAGAGGCCTTCAGGGTCAACTTCCGGCACCTTCAGTGTCTTTGGCAATGGAGGACCTGGAGAAGGCAGAGGCTTTGCCTGGACGGTCACGTTACACTCCCAGAGGAGGGAAGCCTCAAGGCGGGTGGAGTGCCTGTGAGCCGGCCACTTTGGCAGAGGTGGCCTCCGCTCCCTGCCCAGGCCCTTGAGGAGGTGTGATCCTGCCCCCTTTAGGTTGAGAGTTCCAGAAAGTAGAAATTACACCTGCAGCTAGAAATTTAGGGCCATGCTGTGATCATGGATAGTTTGTGTTTTTTTGAATTTGTGAGAGAGTATCATCTGTCACCCAGGCTGGAGTGCAGTAGTGTGATCATAGCTCACTGCAGCCTCGAATGCCTGGGCTCAAGTGATCCTCCTGCTTCAGCCTCTTGAGTAGCTGGGACTACAGGTGTGCACCCCAACCCCTGGCTAATTTTTAAATTTTTTTGTAGAGGCGTGGTCTCGCTATGTTGCCCAGGCTGGTCTGGAACTCCTGGCCTCAAGTGATCCTCCTGCCTTGGCCTCCCAAAGTGCTGGGATTACAGGTGTGAGCCGCTGCGCCCGGCCTTGTGGACACTTGTTGTAGTTGCATGGTCTTCCGTGTTTACAGCATTTTGACTGAATGGCTCAAAAGTGTCTTGCCTCCGCAATGGCTGAGATGAAGACCTGTGGCCCTTCTGAGCTTCTGCCTGTTCTTTGTGCTGCCACATGTGCTGTGCTGGGGACAGGAATGACCATGACAGGGCCCGGTGTCTTGCAGACTATGACGCTGTGCTGACAGAAGCGGGAGATTACACAGCCAAGTACATGAAGCTTCGAGACTTCTTCGGCTCCATCTCAGGTACCCAGCAGACAGCAGACTCAAGTTCCAACTCAGGCCCTTGCTTCTGCTCTCAGACCCCGAAAGAGTTACTTCCTTACTGTCCCATCTGGACTCCAGTTGATCTGTGTGTAAGAATGTTCTAGACAGGGACAGGGAGAGTGTGGGGCTGTTTCTGTCTTGCCGACGTCACCTGTTCCAGGTGTTAAGGCTCCTTATCTCCTGTGGAGGATGGGAGAATGCCCCTGGCCTTCCTCCCCTGGCCTCAGCAGGTGCTGAGAGCTGGCCTGTTGTTCCTCGTGGTGCTGGGATGCAGGAGCACATTGGGTCTGTGAATGGGAGCTGGGTGGGGAGGACGAGCAGACGGTGACATTTGGGTCCCTTGGGGATGACGCTGTTGTCTGTGTGTTGCAGGCATTCCTCTACCTCCCCCACCTGACCTACTTCCCAAGATGTCGTATGAGCCTATAACGCCAGTCTTGTACCTGTCTCTGTGGGATGCCCTCAAGTACATGGGGGAGGTGAGTGCCGGGGGCAATCGTGGGTGTAGCAGGGGTGTGGGGAGAGGAAGGCCAGCGCCTAGTGGCTTTGAGGTCCGCTCTCCAGCCTTGGAGCTCAGAGTGAAGAAGGCAGACTCATGCTAGAGTGTGAGTTGGGGAGAAACAAAGGCCCCTGAGGAACAGCGGGTGGCCCTGTGAACCGTTCCTTCCTCCAGCCTCAGAGAGGAGAGAGGGGCGGAGGAACAGGGAGGGCCTCCTCCGGTGGCCCGAGGCTGTGCTGCATACCCCCTGCCTGTGGACTGCACTCGGCCGGGGCACACCCCTTTGTCCCACCCTCTTCCCCATCACTCTGCAGAGCTGTAGGTTTAGTGCAATGAGAAGTCAAAGTAGAAACACCCGCCAAACCCCTGCTTCCACTCCACGTGCCAGCCCCCAGGCAGAGTCTGTGACCACACTCCTGCTCAGCCTGCCCCCCCGCCATCTCTTCTGTACGCAGCCAATCAAGTCTGAAAAGCCCATCAACATGGAGAACCTGCCAGTCAACGGGGGAAATGGACAGTCCTTTGGGTACATTCTCTACGAGACCAGCATCACCTCATCTGGCGTCCTCAGCGGCCGTGTGCGTGATCGGGGGCAGGTAGGAGCTTCCCTTCTAAATTCCCGCGACCTTCTGATGAGCAGCCCTGCAATATGTTCTGTCCCTCAGAATCAGCTATTTCCAGCTGTAAATATGGCCCTTCCGAGTCAGCTCTGCGAGTCTTCATGGGGGCATTCGTTTCTGCTCTGCCCGCTGGCCCCTTGTCTGCCCACAGGCATGCGGTGCTGCCCTTCTTGGCCTAGCGGAGGTCCCACGTACCCTCCTCCTGTTGGCCATGGATGCTTCTGTCTGTTCCCTTTGGCAGGTGTTTGTGAACACAGTATCCATAGGATTCTTGGACTACAAGACAACGAAGATCGCTGTCCCTCTGATCCAGGTTCATTGTTTTTGGGCGCTGGGTGAGGGCTAGCCCCCGCTGCTTCGAGGAGGACGGGGGGAGTCACCGAGGAAGACTTGGGAGACCCGTGGCTCCTTCCCCACAAGCTGCAGGTGGAGAGGGCGAGCGCGCCTTTCTGCCCAGCTGGGATGTGCACTCCCATCCCCAGAGTGTAGGGAAGAACTGGGGTCCACAAGCACATTCTGAGGGCAGCTGTGGCCCTCCAGTGGTCATCGTTAGCCCTGTGTTGCTGGCAGGGTTACACTGTGCTGAGGATCTTGGTGGAGAATCGTGGGCGAGTCAACTACGGGGAGAATATTGATGACCAGCGCAAAGGTGGGTCCGAGAACGTGTCGAAAGAAGAGCGGCCATGCTGGACACGTGGCTATTGCTTCTCTTCCCAGCAGCCACCAGGACACGGAGGCCCCTTGCAGGGAGGTGGAGGTTGGGTTGTCCCGTACATGAGGCCAGTTCTGAGTGGGCCAGAGAAGCTCCGCTGGGCTGTGGCCCCTGTCCCGTTAGCACTGCACATGTGCATTGTCTGCGTGCTTGTGATAAACACAGTGAACACTGAGCTGGCCTGGTCTCCCCTGGGCTGCAGTCGGTTTCCGCAGGGATGTCTGCCTGGGGGACGGCGGTGAGGAGCAATGAATGTGATTTCCAGGAATCCAAGGAAAGGCACAAGACCCCTGCCTTCTTGGGCCTCCACACTGAATTTCTCTTCTTGATCCATCTTGGGAAACCCATAGCTTATCTCGGATGTGGCGCGGGCAGGACGTGGTGCGAGGAGGATGTGGGACATACAGCAAACAAAACGCCTCTTGGTAGCGCACCCCTCTGGCAGCACACCCCTCTGGCAGCACACCCCTCTGGCAGCACACCCCTCTGGGAACAGGCTGCCAATTTGCTTTATGTTTCCTGGCCTACTAAATCTTTTATGCTTTAATTTAGCCCTTCCTTTTTTAAACAACTCTAGCTAAATGTGGGTGGTTTCAGGTAAGTTATAAAAAAAGAACTCAGAAAAAAATGAATGCGACTGTGGTGAGCAGCACTGGTGACCTCCCAGTTCTCTCACGGTGCCTGCGTTTGTAATGGAGGAAACGTGAAGGGCTCTTTTTGGTCCACATTTCATCTGACAGCCGTCTGGCGGCCTGCCAGGAAAGCGACATGGCCCAGACACTGGAGCCTGGATCCCGGGGATCAGGGCCTCTGCAGATGGGCCTCAGAGCAGCATCTAGACCATCCAGGCCCACACTCCTTCACCCTAAACAGCTCCCTCTCTGGGCCTGTCCTTCCGTTGTTCTCCTGGGGGTTGGAGGGAGCAGCAGCCTGACCATTGTTCCTAACTTTGCTTCCCTGAGCCCTTGTTGAGGGTCCCCTGGGCCCACACTGTGGAGTCCTGTCCTCCGGATCACAGTTAAATGTTTTAAATTACAGACCTCCCTTGAGAAATGTGTGTGCCCACAGACACCTGTACCTGCCATTTCAGAGTCTGTAGGCCCCGCAAAGCCTCTCCACAGTCCCCAGCCTCTGAATCCCCAAGCTAGCCACCCAGCAGCTCCGTGATCTGAGACTGGCAGGGCTGGCCCAGCCCCAGGACACTGATGAGTGGCTCCTCAAGGGACACAGCTCTTCCCTGTTGGATGCCTGAGTGAGGGTGCCATCTGCCCACAGTCCATACTCCTGATGCACAGCTTTAATCCTCGGTGGCATAGGTGACTCCTGGCTGAGTTATTAGGTCTGTGTAGCCTGGGCCCCACTGAAACTGGCCTGCAGTTAGGCCAGAACCCTCTCAGTCATCTGGAACTTCCTTCAGAGAGAGGCCAGAGGCTGTTCTCCCACTGTAACACCTCAGCTCTATATCCTTCCCATGGCAAATCCTAGGGATTTCCTCCTTCCCATGCCCCATAGAATTGCTAGGGAGCCTTGCTTGCAAGCGAACAGCTCAGGGAGCGTACACTTCAGCACTCCTCACCCCAGCGTCCCAGGGCTTCCCCTTGTGGCCCTGGCCCAGCAGACTTGGCCCCTGCCTTTGGGCTACCCACATGTTCTGCCTCCTTCCCACAGGCTTGATTGGAAATCTCTATCTGAATGATTCACCCCTGAAAAAATTCAGAATCTACAGCCTGGATATGAAGAAGAGCTTTTTTCAGAGGTGGGTCCCTGCCCAGTGCCAGCACGTGCACTCACAGGTTCGGCGCTGTGCGGCAGGCCCCAGGGTCCCTGGTGCACCGTAGCCTGGCCCACACCCAGGTGTGAATGGCCCCAGGAGCCAGATCGGCTGGCTGAGGTGAGGGGTGGCACCGGCGCTAGAAGCCACGTTTGCAGACTAGGAATTCCCAGCATCCTACCCTGCTGCCATTCTGTGTCCTGGTTAAGGGTGGGGGGGCCATGGATGGGGAATTAGCTGCAGGACTGGGACCAGATCTAGGGAAGGTCCTCCTCCGTCTCCTGCCCTGTGTTCTGTCCTTAGGTTCGGCCTGGACAAATGGAGTTCCCTCCCAGAAACACCCACATTGCCTGCTTTCTTCCTGGGTAGCTTGTCCATCAGCTCCACCCCTTGTGACACCTTTCTAAAGCTGGAGGTTGGTAACCCCCTTTCCCTGCCGGGTTCTCCTACGTCCCTCCCGCCTTGGAGGGCTCTGAGCCAAAGCCACATGAGCTTGGCGAGAGCCCTTGGTGGCTTCTGTGCCCAGAGGGTCTGAGAGGGCTGCTGGAGACTCCCTGGGCCAGGGGAGTGGGCTCACAGCAGAACCACCTCATGCTTCCCACGTGCAGTCTGAGCTTGGGGGCCATGCCTGAGAGGCGTGGCAGTGGCACTAGGGGCACTGAGAGGCGTGGCAGTGGCACTAGGGGCACAGGAAATAGAGCATCCCACCTGCTCACCCTCATGGCTGTCCAGACGCAGCTGCTTTGGTCTCCTGGACCTGAGAGAAGCACGCATGGTGTATGTCTCCCTCCACTTTGCTGTGGCTCTCGTGGTAGATGAACACCCTTCCCACTCTGTTTCAAGGGCTGGGAGAAGGGGGTTGTATTCATCAATGGCCAGAACCTTGGACGTTACTGGAACATTGGACCCCAGAAGACACTGTACCTCCCAGGTCCCTGGTTGAGCAGCGGAATCAACCAGGTGGGAGCTTCCAGCCCCTTCTTGTTCCCCAAGACGCCCTGCCCACCTGCCCTCCCAGGGAGCCTTCCCTCAGGGTGGAGGGTGTGCCAGTGGGTTCTTCCTCCCTCCTCCTCGCTGCGGACGAGTTGTTGGTCCCTGTCCCTTCCAGCCTGGTTCCCAAACCCTCTCCTTCTGACCTTGCCACCTCTCAGCACCTCCCCTGGCACCAGGACAGACCTCAGCTGCCCTCCCAGCTGGGCCCTCTCTCCACAGGTCATCATTTTTGAGGAGACGATGGCGGGCCCTGCACTACAGTTCACGGAAACCCCCCACCTGGGCAGGAACCAGTACATTAAGTGAGCGGTGGCCCCCCGTCCTGCTGGTGCCCGTGGGAGACTGCCGCCGCCTCCTGACCTGAAGCCTCGTGGCTGCTGCCCCACCCCTCCCCTGCAACCTCAGGGACTGGGGGCTACAGTCTGCCCCCACCTAAGCTGAAAACCCTGAGCCTGCAGGGAAAGGTGGGACGGCTCTGGGCCTGGCTCTGCTGATGACGCCTTTCCTGCAGCCCTGCTCGTGTGCGAGGCTGTCGGGCTGTCTCTAGGGTGGTCTCCAGGGTGGGAGCAGCTAGTCAGATCGCCAAGCCTTTGGCCCTCAGAGAAAGTGCTGAAACACGCCCCTGCGCTGGAAGTCACAGCCCTGCGAGCATCTGCTGGACTCAAGCGTGCTGTTTGCTGGTTCTTGGGAGGCTTGGTCACATCCCTCATAGCCCCTTTTTATCCCCGAAATGCTGGGTGTGTCACCAGTGTAGAGGGTGGGGAGGGGATGTCTCACCTGAGCTGACTCTGTTCTTCCTTCACAACCGTCTGAGCCGCCTTTGGGATTCTGGAAGGAACTCAGCGTGAGAAACACGTGACTTCCCCTTTCCCTTCCCACTCGCTGCTTCCCACAGGGTGACAGGCTGGGCCGGAGAAACCGAAATCCTCAGCCCTGCGTCTTCCTGAGTCAGCGAGTGTCTCTGGTGTTCAGTGAGGATGACATGTGGGTCCTGGCAGAAGCTATGGCCCGTATCCGCACATCCAGGGAGGAGGCACAGAAGGCCCCCGCCCCCCACCGCCCACGCGGAGCAGCAGGGGCGGAGCAGCCTCCTCCGCAGGTGTCCACGTCCGTGTTTGAGCCTTGCTCTGGGGCTCAGCCCAACACCTGGCTCGGGCTCACTGTCCTGAGTTGCAGTAAAGCTGTAGCGTTGAATCACACCCCCTCTGGTGATAGTCTCCAGTCATGTGTGCCACTCGTGCCAGAGGGGAAGGCTGTGTGAGAGCGTTTTCTCGGTCAGGTTCCCATGGGGCCCCATTTGCCGCTCGGGGGTCCAGACGGGGACCGTCCCTGGGGTGGGTGGGCCCTGATCCTGGCCTCATACCCCCCTCCTGACCCCGAATCCCCTTAAAATGTCGCTGGATTGGAAGCGCCCTGGAGAGGACAGGTCAAATGCAAATTCATTCTCATGCTGGTGGGCGGGGGTAAGAATCTGCCAGGCAGTCAAGGGCGCTACATATGAGTTAACTGCGGGGTTGAGTTTTGCTTCACAAACTACATCTGGCATCTACTGCCAAAACCAAATTATCTCCAGTAACAGAAAGTCAAGTAGCACACACATCCCCTGCACGGCAAGAGCTCTGGGAGCCCCGTGAAGGTGGGCTGGGGGATGGCGAGCCGTGGAGCTCACTGAGGCCAGCAGGCTTGCTGCCCGTGTGGCTGCCCAGGGGGAGGTGCAGGGGACATTCGTGATGTGCAGCCCAGCAGCTGAGCCAGGTCAAGGGCTTATTAAATGGAGCTTGTTAAAGGGAAGCATGTGGACAGTGGCTTGGGGACAAGATGAGGCAGAGTCCCTGGTTTTGCCCAAACTCACCAGTTCTTCTGGAACTGCCTTGGAACGACAAGCATGGAGCTAAGATGTGGCTGAGACCCGGGCTACTTGGGTGTGGCCTGAGCCAGGTGCAGGGTCTTCTGCCCTGCTTTACCTGGGTGTGTGCTTCTGCAAAGCTGTGCATGAGCTGGGTTCTGTCAGAAAGTGATGGAACTCGAATGGAAGGGAACCTTCCTGCAAATCCTCCTGTAAAGTGGATCACACTTCCACGAAGAACTGAGCAGGACACTCTGGTTTCCTAAGGTGAGGTCTTCCTACACCAGCTTCTTATTCTTGCCCTTTTTTGCCAGTTGACTGCTCGGCTTCTCTATCAAAGCACCTCTTGGCAGAGCTTATTCTCCAGTGTTGACTAAAGATTTGTCCATATCTTCCACATGGTATGGCCTCATCTAGGTCTCTTTGGAGGATCCCTCTTCATATCCAGCCTCTGAATACTGGGGGTCTCTGGCCCACTCCTTGGGCTGTTTCTTTCCTCTGTCCACACTCACTGCACAGGGTCTCACCTGTGACACCTGTGGTTTGTAAACAGGTTCGACACCCGCGCCTGCCGATGCTGGCCTGCACCTGAGCTCCAGGCGCGTGGGGGCTCCTTTTCTTCTGCATGTGTCTTAACAGGCACCTGACACACAGCTCCGTTTCCCCACATTACCCCTCCTGCACGCAGCCCCGTATCTGGAAACGGCAGTGCTGTTCTGTGTCTCGGGCTATTTTGGACCCCTCTCTTTATCTCCCACATCCAATCCAGCAGCAGATCCTCCTGGCTCTGCCTCCTAAACTCGTTCAGAATTTGACTGCTGCTCTCTGCCCCAACCCCATGCCCCCACTCAGTCCACTGCATCTTGGCCTAGATGATTGCAGGAGCCACGTCTCCACCTGTCCTTGCCCTCTGCATTTATCCTCTGTGCAGGCGCAGGGCAGTTCTTCTGAGAGATGGATAGATTGTTAGTCCTCCGTGCTGGACCCCCCATTGCCTTCTGGTTTCACCTGATGCCTGAGGACTCCCTCCTCCCATGCCCACCGCATCCCTCACTGCTTGCCCCAGCCGTCCCCACCCAGTCGGCTGAGCCTTCCTGCTGATCTATAAGCTGAGCAACGCTTGTTCCACCTGCTGGAGAGTTCTTTCTTCTTGGACCCAGGGAGCTGCTTGTCAGGGTGTTGCTGCTTTGCTCCAATGTCACCTTATCAGGGAGGCCTTTCTGGCCACCCTACAGAGCACTGACCCCTCTCCACTGTTACCCTCTGTCTCCCCAACTCAGCCTCATTCTCCATACAACAGATTGCATCTGAAATAACACGTATTCGTTATTGCCTGTCTCGTCTCGTCAGTAGGTCAGTTCTGTGAAAACGAGAGCCTTGTTTTTTCACTGCTGCGTTCCGGCTCCTAGAATAATGCCTGTTCATAACAGGCACCTGATAAATACTTGTTGGGTAGCTAAATTAATAAATGACAGTAAAATAAGGCAGCGCTGAAGAGGATTAGGACTGTTAAAAACTGTATTTGACTTTTAATTTTGAAAGCAAATTAAATACAGTTAAATTAAAACAGACCGGATGCAGCTGCCTGGGTGCCACCCTCACCCCAGCCTCTGTTCTTGGAACTCCTCGCCCCTGGCCTCACTCCTGTGTGGTGGGGTTTGCCAGCGAAGGAGCAGGGAACAGACTGGGTTTGGAAAACAATCGTCATCATGGACCCATTTCTGATTTATAACAAACTCATTCCCAACAAGGATGAAGGCTGCAGTCCACCAGGGTTATAATTATAAATAAATATACATGCAGCTAAAAGAGGGTATTAGGTGAAAACAACTGACCTAGCATCTGCCAAAAGAAGTCCCCATTTTGTTGTTCATTATCAATTTCCTGAAAATGAACCCTGGGTTTTTGGCTAAGAAGGTGGCCTCAGACCAGCCAAGCTGACCTTGGCACTCAGGGCTGGCTTCTGTGAGTGAGGCAGTAGAGCGCCCACGCATAAGTTCACCACCTGTGCCCACCTCCTCCCTTCTCTCCCATGCCACCCCACTTGCTTCCAAGGGCTTGGTTTCCAAAGTGACATTCAGGGTGTAAGAGGTTGGGGAAAACGTCCTGCAAGGTGGCTCAGGGATCTGATTCCATCAGATGGTGTCATGAATACTGTGGGAGATTAAATCCATCTCAAAATAGGCAACCAATGCTATATTCTGAATGTTAGGTCTCTGGACTGAGTCCCACCCACCCACCCACTCAGGAGTGGGTTCTGAATGGCCCTCAGACCTGTCCTGGTGAGTCTTAATGGGGTGGGAGGCTGTTAGTTAAAAAATAAACACCTCTTCAGTAGGCTGGGGCCCCTTCCTTTTCCTCCACTTGGGGGGAAAATTGTGCTTCCAACTTGCAGGAGAATGAGCCAGATTGCCACCAGAGAGCCCGGCCAGCCAGGGGGAGTCAGAGCCCTTTCCAGCGGGCCTGGGAGGCCTGGGGAGGGCAGCAGCTTGAGACACACTGTTCTTTCTCTAGGGTGGAAAGTGGACAGCTGGACATGAGGTGGGCTAGCTTTGCATGCTCCCGACTTAGGGAAAAGTAACATTTTCTTTCCCTTTTTTGTGTTTAGAATAATTTCCAAAGCAGTGTGCTCAGGCCTCCCTCCTGCTCAGTGTCCCACCAGCCCCTGCCCTCTTTTCCCCAGTCCCTCTGCTACTCCAGAGTCCCTCCTCCTCAAACTGGGGGCAGGAGAGAGTTAGCCCTTGGCCTTGGCCTCCCTCCTTTTTCCAGGCTGCAGGAGGTCCCACCTTGCACGCCACCCACCGCCTTCCCCACCGCCCATCACCTTGCCCACCGCCCACCACAGACAGACCCACTGCCCACCACAGACACAGACAGACCCACCGCCCACCACAGACACAGACAGACCCACTGCCCACCACAGACAGGCCCACTGCACCCTGAGGTCTGTGGCTCTGAAGAGCTGCAGGAAAAGGTCCCTTCCCTCCCCAGTCCAGTCCAGCCGAGGGGCCGAGCAGCCGAGGTGGGCGGTGGGCGGTGGGCGGTGGCAGCATGTGGACAGTGGGGCCGTGGGGTTCTTAATCCAGGTCAGGCAGTGACCTGTGCTGGCTCTTGAGCCCACCCCTTTGCCAGTGCTGGAGGAGAAGGGGTAAAAAAAGAGGGGCCGGACGAGGGGACTCTGCTCCTGCCACAGCCTGAGGTACAGGGGGTGCCTATTAGGCCCAGTTCCCCCCATGCAGGGCTGGGTGCCTGTTGGGATCAAAGACGGCCTCATGCTCTGTAAACATGAACCAGAGGAGAGCCACAGAGGTATGTCTGATTTGGGGGCAGCTCTCGGGGAGAGCAGGGACCGAGGAGAGGAGCAGCACTCATGATGCCCGTGGGCTGCTCTCTGGTCTTCAGAATTCCCTGGCTGGGTGTCCTGTGTGGTAGGGCTGGGCCCAGGGACAGGGAGCCAGGGAGGGCCATGCTCCACGTGACCGCAGGGGCTTCTCATCTCCCTCCCGCCCGCATCACTGCAGGGCCGGAGTGGGTGCCCTCTGCACCTGCTCCTGCAGCCCCGTCAGTGCAGGGAGCTCTGGGGAGGTGCGCTGGAGCACCGGCTTGGCTGGTGCTGGACACCCCACCCTGGCCATCAGGTCTCTCGGGCCCTGGTCACGCTGGTTGGAGAGAACAACAGGTCTGGGATTTCTGTGCTTAAATTCTCTGTCTTTTGTCCTGGCATCAGGCTGGGCTCTCTCAGAAGCCCCAGAATAGAAAGGAGGGTGACGGTGATTCCTTAGGAGTCGGCCTTGGAGGGACCATCAGCCGTGGGGAGAGGATGGAAGGCCAAGAACAGGGTCTGAGGAGGAGGCTCCTGTGAGGGGAGAGGAGGAATGAGTGAGGTGTCAGCTGAGGATGGGGCTGGAGAGGGAACGGCCAGGCAGGGCCACCAGGACCTCTGCAAAGCCCAGGCCCCCAGGTCCTGTGGGGGCCTTTGGGGGGGCAGGTGGGGAAGGTGCTCCAGTGAGGGCAGCGAGGGCCCAGTGAGGGCAGGAGGCAGGAGTGAGGCTCTGTACAGACGCATTCTAAGTGGCACCGGCCAAGGTGACTGAGTGACGCCCTGTGGTCCCCTGCAGGCAGGGGGATGCAAACATGATACAGAAGCTGTTGCTTAGCTCCAGCGCAAGAGGACAAATGTCTGTCTCAGGCCCCAACCTCTGTTTGGCATAACCTAGAGCAGGGAGTCTGGAGTACCAGCTGCTTTGAAGAAACAGAATAAGATCACAGTAAAGCCCCTGAAAATGCCTGGCTTTGCCAACCACCCGGCACAATTCACTTGTGCCAGTGTGTCATCTTGGAACATTCATTTAGCTTCTCTCAACATCATTTTTTTGCCTCTGAAGTGTAGGTGGATCCTGTGGCCTACTTCCAGAGAAGGCTTTAAAGACTCGAATAAAAATAGCCACACTGATGAGACTTATGTGCCATGAACTGTTCTAGGTGCCCTCAGCAACCTACTTCACAGATGAAGAAACTGAGGCCCAGAAAAGTCAAGTCAGGTCAAACAGTGAAGAGCAGGGGTCCTGGGAGCTGAGGTCTGGGTCCGTGCTCTCACTCTGCGCTACCTCTCACTAGGACAGCCGTGGCTCGTTGCTGTGGAGCAGCGAGTCCGTGAGTCCTCGCCATGGCCATGTGGTGAAGGAATCCACAGGGGAAGAGGCAGACTTGGGGGGACAGACCCTGGCCAGCGAGAGTCTGAATGGCAGTGCCTTATGGGCTGCAGGCGTCACTGCCAGCAGAACAATCAGCAAGGTGTTTGCAAGGCGACGCCCTCTGAAGAGTCTGGTGGCAGAGAAGGACCCAACTGTGTGGGTGAAAGTTAATGCCTGGGGACTTTCAGGTGGCCCAGTGGGAAGGGGACCGTGGTAAGGCCTCCCCTCCCGCCCACATTTGCTGTGTCCTCCACAGTGAAAGCCCAAGAAGAAAAGCATAAGACAGTTGATTTGGCCCAACCTGGTGCCGTTCTGCCCAGTGTGTGGCCCACCCTCGTCACGCCCATACCTGCGTCCTGAAGCTCAGATCTCCACCGAGGGGTCAGTGAAGCCCTTCTTGCCCTCATTCACCAGCACTGGCTTCTCTGTCCGTGTGTGCCACACCAGGATCTGTGTGCCCAGAGATGCAAAACATGGTGGGACAGGCCCCTGACCTCACTCCGCTGCCTCCCTGCTCCCTCCCACGCCGTGTAAGCATCTCTCCTGCCCCTCCCTTTCCTTCAGGAGTTTTCAATTGTTCCATCAAGATTTTCTCAATTGTTTAAAATTTATTTTCTGTGGCTCCAGACTACCCCGTCATTTTTGCTGTTTGTACATGTGATGCCTTCAGAACACCTGCAGGAAATGGGAAGTCTAGAGCTACAGGAAAGAGAAGCCCCAAGACTTCCCGTGTGTGTGTGCATATGTCTGCATGTGCATGTGTGTGCATGGTGCATGCGTGTGCATCTGCATATGTGTGCACATGTGTGCATGCATAGGCATGTGTGTGCGCATGAGAGCTCAGCAGGGACGTCCTGGAGCACAGCTGTTTTGTGGGAGGTTATAACTCCCTGGTGGCCATTGCTCTCCCTTTCCCTGCCTGTCCACCGTGTCGCTGCCTTACAGGTGATAAACGGCCTTCCTGGGGAGGGGGTTTCAGAAAGCCCAGGCTATTTTGAGGCCTCTGTTTCCTTCTCCCGATCTGTAGGGAGGGTGTGGCTGTGCTGGAGACGGGTGTGTCACAGCTGTCAGTGCTGTGGAGGGTCTCACCTTGGTGCAGTTGGCTGCCTTGGGCTCCAGGTCATTGAGGGTGACAAGTTCTCGAAGGAGGCTGCTTTCCTGGTAGCCTCCCTTCACACCTCGCAGCTTGAAGTAGGCCTGGCTTCGCTGCAGAATGAGCCGCAGGTTGACTGCAAATCCAGCCATGTCTATTGCAAATGGCCGGTGGGGGTCAAACACCGTCTTCCAGCCGACCACCTTCCCTGCCCCGTTCACCCGTGGGGCCTCGTACCGCAGGCCACCCACGAAAGCGACGGGCCACACGGACACCCTCCTGGTGCTGCGCATCTACAAGTGGGGGGTCCAGAGTCAGGGCACCCGCACTGCAGATGTGGACGGACTCCCGTGCCCATGGGAGGCGACATCCTTCAGCAACCTCTATGCCCATGGCCAGCCAAGGCCACTCAGGGGGGTCCAGTACAGCCCTGCCCCCAGGGCCCCGTCCCATGGGTTGGGCACCTGAGGAGAAGCTGCCCTGGGCTGCCGGCGAGATCTGACCTCTCAGACGGCCTGGTCTTCACCTTTTCAACATGGCCCTGCTGCCGTTTTCTCCCTTGTGTAAAACCCTTCGGTCTGCCCACTTCAGAGTGTGAAATGACTCCCCTTCTCCCCCAGACTAGCACAGCCCATATACTCAGGCAGCTCCAGCTGTTCCACCCAAGAGGTTTCCGGTGGTCACGCAGAATGACCTGCTCACAGACCCATTCAGAGGAGACCTCTAGGGCCAAGAATATGGTTTAGGGGCTCCAGAGCCACCTGCCTTCCCCCTAATTGTGGGGGATGCTGTAGCCCGCAGTTCTGTCCTTTCCCTGGCTCTCTGCTGCCTGCCCGGCTCCCAGCCCGGCACCGCCTCCCGGTCTCCCCCTGCGCCAGCCTCCCCACCCACAGCCCCTCCTCGGGAAGCCCCTCCACGCCCCGCAGCCTCGGGAAGCCCCTCCACGCCCCGCAGCCGGGGCCCCGCGGCACCTCCTCGAAGAGCTCCAGGCTGTAGGTGTTGTCGTCGTCCGCGAAGTACACCACGCCGGGCTGGCTGGAGTTGCGAGGGAAAGTCTCGCGCAGCCAGCGCAGGGCCAGGTTGCGCTGCATGGTGCCCCGCGGGATGCGTGGGTCGCGGGCGTCTCCTCGCAGCTTGTAGTTGCGGGGCGTCTCCACGTGCAGGTGCGTGTAGTTGAGGCCGGTGTCGCGCAGCAGGCGCGCGGTCAGCGGGGTCCGGCGCGGCGCGTCCTCCACCACCAGCCAGTGCAGGTTGGGCACGTGCAGCAGCGTGTTGGCCATGCGCGTCAGCTCGGCCTTCTGCACCGGGCGGCTGTAGGTGGGCGTCACCACGTGGATGGTGGGCAGCGTGTCGGACCACGGCGGCGGCCGCGTGTACACGTACTCGGTGCGCACCACCTCCACGATGTCGCGGTCGGACATGCAGTACTCTCTGGGGTCCGAGCCGGGCGGCGCTTCGCGTCGGGGGTCGCTGCCCTCATCTGCCGATTGGGAGACAGGCATTGGGAGACAGGCGATGCGGGGAGGAGAGCGCTGGCTGTGGCCCCAGATTCAGAGCCGGACGCCCCCCACCCTGCCAGGGCACCCTCTTCCTCCCCTGCAGGGGCTGCTCAGACCCCTGCCTTGGACCTGTTAGCTCCAAGGTTGAAACCTGCAGCCCTGGAATCCTCTCTGAGGGTCCCAGTTCTGATGACACAGAAGTAACCACTTCCTTCCCACCTTTGCAGCCCTCTGGCTATTTGAGGGCAGCTGCCCATATTCCAAGACTGCATCCTCAGTTCCTAAATGCGCTGATTTTCCTACGAAAAGGCATCCTGGCCCTCCCCTCCCCTGCCCTCCTCGTCTGGAGGGAGCCGGCCATGCTGCTCCGCACAGGCTGTCCTGACCCTCCCCTCCCCCGCCCTCCTCGTCTGGAGGGAGCTGGCCACGCTGCTCCGCACAGGGCTGGGCTAGCAGAGCACGTGGCACTGTCCCACTGTGGTGTGGAGGCCACAAAGCCCCAGGGCCGCACCCCTGCTGCAGCAGCCAGAGCACAGAGCACACTGCGCCTGCAGGAGCCTGAGGCAGCTCCCGGAGTTCTCAAGCCCTCCCGTCAAGTGGGGCCTCTGCCCTCCTGGCCTTAGATAAGGCATTCTCTGAATCTTGGTGCTGAACTTCCTATTTAACTGCATTTTATTCTTGTGGGTTTTGCCCATAGTTGCCAAGATATATGTAGATCTAGCAGTCCTAGCAAGAGGAGAAATCATGGCCATTGGGATTCTTGTTTTCCATGCGTCCCTTCTCTCCAAATTCTGTCCTTCCATCGGAAAGGCTCAGGCACCAGCGACGGTGTGGCCCTCACTGTCCTAGCTTACCGCTGGGTGATAAAGGTAAGAAATCCCAACGCCTGGGCTGAGACCCTGCCCAGTTCTGCCGTTACAAACCCTATGCCCTTGAGCAAACTGCTTAGCTTCTGGTGCCTCAATTTCAGCGACTGTAAAATGGAGCTAATAATAGCATCGAACTTATCAAGTTATTACGTGGATTAATGAGTCGACACATGCCAAGGGCTGAAAGCACTGCCAGGCAGTTTCCTCTCTTGTGGAAGGGCAGTGGCCAACTCTGCTTCCTTCTGGCTTCAGGCAATCAGTGGGGACAGAACGAGCCAGTCACACCAAAGGGGAGGACCCTGGGCATCAGCTCTTCTGCTGCCTCTTTCTGGCCACCACTGTCATCAGCAGCATGCGGGGCGTGTGGGATGCTAGCGTGGAGACCATATGAACGGACCCAGGTCTTCAGGAGTTCTCACGGGCAAATGGTACAAGGCACACAGCAATTTCTGAGGGCCGGGGGAGGTGACCAGCAGAGATGCCGTCACTCAAAGGGGACTGCTTAGAGGAGTTTGGGGTCATACTGTGAGAAGAGCAAGGTGGAAGAAAGCGGGATGGGTGTCTAGGGTTCTGACCTGGATAGGTTTAATTTATCCTATGAGCAGTAAAGTATTGGAAACTGCGGCTTTGGGAGAAGGTTTAGAACCAGTTGGTCCAGCTCTCTGTCACCTCAATCATCCCAAGCCCACAGAGGACCTGTGCCCTGGGAAAGTCCCCATACATGAGGGCACAGCTACTGCCTGTGCTCCTGGGCTCTGCCCTTGCCGTTAGCTTCAGGGTGTCTGCAATTTTGGGTCCTAACGGCCTCCTGGTGACCCTAACTTCACTCAGCGGCAGCTTTCATTCGCTCGCTCTTGGCATGCTCTGGAGACAGAGTGCCAAGTCCCCAGCCTCACGCAGCACCATCAGTGCTTAGCAAACAGCCTGACGTCTCCAGTGCTGGAGCTCTGCCAAGAAAGCAATCGACACAATATCATGTCGCTTTATATATAGTAGCTTTAGCCCCTCTGGAGTGATGTATTTGCAAGATAACAATGATTCTAAACTGACAAGCACTGCGAAGAGGCGCTAGAGTCAGGAGGAGAGGATGATGTTAGGAAGAGAGGCGCTAAGTGGCAGCCATGGGCAGTCGGCTGCCGCAATCTTGAGCTTGGCCCTTCCTCATGGAAGCTTCAGGAACAGCTAGGGGTGTGCAGGACCTGGTATCTGACTGTGTGGAGCAGCACGACTTCAGGCTGTGATTTTTGGACACTGCCTGCATCTTGGGGTTACAGGCACTCACCACCTCTCTCTGCATGGACTTGGGTGTCTTGTTTATCACACTGCCAGGTAAATGTCATGCACACTGCAAACGGAGAGCAGCTGCCTGGCCCCACGTGTTGAGTCTGTGCATGTAAGTGGGGGAGCGGGCAGAAGAGAGCATGAGACAAAGTGCTGAGGAGCTGGGGCAGCCAGCTGTGGGGTGATGGCAGGTTTGGGTGTGGAGAGCTCTGTGTGAGAGGCAAAGGCAACCCAGGAGCCAGAGCCAGGGGAAGGGGGTTCTCCCCCGAGTTCTTCCACTAGTTCTTCATGGACTTTTCCTCTCTCCAGCCGTGTTTCCACCAGGTAGCACTAGACCAGGGTTTCTTGTGCAGGAAAAGGAGAGAAGCAAACACTATACTCCCTGTGAAAGGGTTTAAAACACACTGCAGGCCAGAAATCCTATCCCCCCGACCATCCACTGCAGAACGGTCGCTTTCCTTGCATGTCATGAAATGGCATGTGAAGCTGTGTACGCGTCTTTGTGTGTGTGTATTAATGATGTGTGTGTTTTAAGTTGTTCTGTATTTTAAGATGCGTTGACATCTTGGGGGCCTTGCAGATCTGGGAGGGACTGACCCTCCCAGGACTAGCTAATTCCTAGTGACAGTGTACACCTGCCTGCAAACACACTTTTCACATGCAAACTACCTGATCTAGAGCTCACACCCACCACCGTTATGGAGCTCTCCCACCCAAGCCAATCTTCCCCTGCCTAAACCACCCCAGGGTGATACCAGACAATTAGAAACCACGCCCGTATCCTAAACCCACTGACATTCTTCAGACTATGCAATTCTGAGCCAGCTCAGCTGCTGACCGTGCTTGGCCCTTCCCTTCCTATGAAACCACTTCCCTTCCTACCAAAACCGCACTAAAGCCTCCCACTCCCTTCACTTCCCACCTCGGACCCCAGCACTTCCCACCTCGGACCCCAGCACTTCCCACCTCGGACCCCAGCACTTCCCACCTCGGACCCCAGCACTTCCCACCTCGGACCCCAGCACTTCCCACCTCGGACCCCAGCACTTCCCACCTCGGACGCCAGCACTCCCCCCGACCCCAGCACTTCCCACCTCGGACCCCAGCACTTCCCACCTCGGACCCCAGCACTTCCCACCTCGGACCCCAGCACTTCCCACCTCGGACCCCAGCACTTCCCACCTCGGACCCCAGCACTTCCCCAGGGGCACGGTGTGCCCCCTCCCCTTGGGTCCTGAGAGTGACAAGCTCTTCTTTCAAGGTGGTTGTCTTGGTGTCTGCCAACCTACCATCCCGGACCTCTCTAAACTGTGTGGGCAGCTTCCATTAGCTTCCCATTCCCAAAGGGGTGCAAGTCTCACGAAGGGGCCTAGATGGTCCGGTGGTTCCTCCTAGCTGCTTAGTGAGTACAAAGAACCCTTGCATGTCAGCTGTGGTCACTGTCACTACCAAGGCCCAGCTGGGCAGGCAGGGCATGCGTGTGTCCTCACCCTTATGCACCGCAAGCAGGGGTGCGAGGGTGCTCTGGTGCCAGACCGTGATGAGCAGAGTCCAGGGCAGCACGATGAGGACGATCGCTAGGATGTCCCGTCTCTTCGGCATCTCCAAGGCTGGCTGCACCCACGGCTCCTCATTACCTGAGTGGCGGTAAGTTCAGGAGAGGGGTGGCCACGGGCGGCGGCAGCACAGGGGAGAAAAGAACAGGCATGGGCCGGGCCGGCCAGGCATGGAGAGGGCAGAGCAGCTGAATGTTGGCTAGCAGGTCTTACCAGCACTCACAACCCACCCATTGCGGAAGCAGGTTTGGAGAGTCCGGCCCGACTGGAGTCTGAGAAGGGGTCGCTGTCCGGGGGCAGGGGTCAGGAACCCTGGGGGGTGGACACCTGCAAGAGAGAGCAGAAGCAGATAGCCAGAGACCCAGGCACAGGAACGGATGCCAGCAAGGCCGGGCCCTGCTCTGGGACACACAGCGTCTGGGGTTCCACAATGGAGCCTCAGCCGTCCATCCCCTGAGGACCTCTTCTTCTGCCTGTTTGAGTGGAACGGGCTCTGTCCTTCCCACAAGCACAGGGCCGTGGCGCTGCTCCACTGATGAAAGTCAGGAGAGGGCAGGGGGCAGAAGCACAGACTGCAGAGACACCAGGTTTAAATCCCAGCTGTGCCACCCACAGGCTGTATGACCTTTGCAAGTCATTTCCGTTTTCCATGCCACAATTTTCCCATCTGTAAAATGGGGCACTGTGGTTCCCTGCCTCATAAGGTCATTCTCAGAATTAAACGGTACCTCCCATGCAGCCCTAAAATGCCAGCTACTTATCAAAGCCTGGATAAAGGGGTGAGAGGTTTTCTCTCTCTTTTTTACCATATATGTACCATAAATTATTACATTAAAATAATTTCAACATTTTAGATTTGGGGGTACACGTGCACGTTCGTTACGGGGCATATTGCGTGTGATGCTGAGATTTGGAGTATGATGAATCCCATTTCCCAGGTGCGAGCATAGTACCCAATAGGTCATTTTCAGCCCTTCCTTTTACAATCCCCAGTGTCTATTCTTCTCATGTTTACAGTCATGAGTACCCAATGTCTAGCTCTCACTTATAAGTGAGAACACACCGGATTTGGTTTTCCGTTCCTGCGTTAATTTGCTTAGGATAATGGCCTCCAGCTGCATTCATGCTGCTGCAAAGGCCATGATTTCGTCCTTTTGTATGACTGTGTAGTATTCCTTGCTGTATATGCACCGTGTTTTCTTTATCCAGTCCACACCGATGGGCACCTGGATTGATTCCATGCCTTTGCTATTGGGAATGGTGCTGCGATGAACACACAGGGGCAGGTTTTCTCTCTTTTTGTGAAACACTTTATTTTCCTTTGGATATATACCCAGGAATGGGACTGCTGGCTAGAATGGTAGCTCTGTTTTAAGTTCTTTGAGAGATCTCCAAATTGCTTTCCATAGTGGCTGAACTAATTTACATTCCCACCAACAGAGGATATGTATTCCCTTTTCTCTGCAGCCTCACCAGCATCTAATATTTTCTGGCTTTTTAATAATAGCCATTCTGACTGGTGTGAGATAGCCTTTTACTGTGGTTTCAATTTGCATTTTGGTGACAGTCTTTTGAGGACAAAGAAGAGATGCTTCTGGGATGGGCCCTGGGGGAAGTGGGAGAGTGCCTTCCTCTGTGCAGGACACAGCACCAGGGGCTGGGCTGGGCAGCAGCAAGGAGTAGAGGGGTCCCCGCAGGGGCTGCCACATTGAGGGGAGACAGTCCTCCAAAACGACAGCAGCAGGGGACCCAAGTGAGGAGAATGAGCCACTGGGACTCCCCAGTCCTGCAGAGGGTCCACTGGTAGCGTCCCTGGGAACTGTCCTCTCACATGGCAAGGACACTGGCTGAAGAGACCTCCTGACCACCTTGGAAACTGTCACATCCTCTTCTCCCTTTTCACTTCTGTGCTGAGCACCATGCATGATGCAGCAGGGACCCGTGGGGGTGACGGGGAGGGCAGGCAGCCTCGGGAAGCCCAGCCAGCCTCGCTGTGCTCACCTGTCCCAGTGCCCAGTGTTGGGTAGGGACAGCGCCTCACCTGGGGACCGTGCTGCCTGCTCCTGCCCCAGCTCACGTGTGCTCACCATTTCAGGCAAAGTCGAGCACTGTGACCAAGGAGGGTTTTTAGCCCCTGAGTTTCCAAAATAGTGTGTTTTCCCCTCCTCGCCAGGTCCTCTCTCCAAATAGTTCTGACGCCTTGTGGAAGACCAGGATCTGTCTTCCATTAAGGAGCACTGCGGTTTCCTGGGACGGCCGGCATCCCCTGCCCACACCCTGCCATCAGAGGCCCACTCTACCCAGAGAGTCTCCCCCACCCATTCCCTGGGGAGTGGAAGATCCACTGGGGTTCAGTGTCACAGGCACGTAGGAGATAGTGAACATTCTAGGCTGTGTGTGTCTGTGCCCCCCACAAACTCCTCTTCGCTGGCCCAGTGAGGGACAGAGCCTAGAACGCCACACGGGACGCCTGCTGGACCTTGTGTTCTGAGATGCAAGTGATCTCATGCCACATTCCCCAGATTTAGCCTGTCCCTCCGCACCCAGGCCACTGCTGGAGTTGCATGGGGCTGTGTGTCAAGACACGTTTTGGCAGGTGTGATCTTAGGCCACAGCTGATGAAGGACGGGGAGGCTGGGCCTGGCTGGGGCTTCAAAAATGTCCAGGAAGATTTCTTCTGTGTTCTCGGAGACTCTCGAAGGAGCTTTCTCAAGTGCTCCTGGTTTTGGTGAAGGTTCTAACACCAGGATGGAGAAAGCCAAGGAGAGAAGACGAGTGCTATGACAGCTCAGTCCCTGTGGGCCACTCCCTTCCCTTTGGGGCAGCCTCTCAGCCCCCACCGACTCTGGCACCTGCTCGGCCTCCCTTGTGCCTGCTTGCACTGTTGTTTATACAAACTTTCCTATAGCGTGAGGGGTGTCTGAAGATGAGGCTCAGCTCTTCACATGCACCTGCTCCTGCAACGTCAGAGCAGCCCTGCGCAGTAAGCATGGCTGTGGTCCCTGTGGGTTCATCGAGGCCAGAGAAGGGGAGTAACTTGCCTGAGGTTAACCATGAGGAAATGGTGGAGTTGGAATCGAATCCAGGCCATCTGGCTCCATGCTGTCATCGGGGGCATAGGATGAGAGGTCCCAGACCCCCAAGCCTCTCGAACCTGGGCCAGGGGCAGAGTGGGCAAGGGCCACACACAGACCAAACGCTTCCTCTGGCCTGGACCACAGCCACCCTCCTCTGCAATGGCTGCCCCCCTGCGGGGCCCTAGAACCTGCCTGGAGGCGCAGCAGGAAGGAGGGGCGGGAAGGAAGAGGGGAGAACGGGGCCTGTGGGCAAGGTGCTGTGGGACGATTTCTGCTCCCATCCAGGCTTTTTGGTCAAAACATCTATGAGAGAAAAGGGAGGGGGAGAGAGGGAGAAAAGCTCTAAAAATAAACTCAGCAATAAACCCAGTTGTGCATTAATTACTCTGGAAGCCATTATGGCTTGAAAACCCCATAACTTTAATGGAGGCTATTATAAGCATAGTAGCGAAATCGTGGAGCTAATTACCAGGCGGTTATCAAGCAGAACAGAGAGAGCCCCCAGCCTGGAGAACGCCAGCTGGCCGGCAGGGGGCGGGTCGTGGGACGTGATGCCTGGGCTGGGCAGGGGGCCTGGGGCCAGGCAACGGGGTGGGCTGCACCTGCCCCCAGCTCTGGGCCCCAGTCTGAGGCTGGGCTGCAAGGTTGGCCGGCACTGATCCCCTCTTGCAGGCTGCTGCTTCTGCCTGGGGCTTGGAGGAGGGTGGAGTTTGCCCGTGGTCGCAGGCTGTCTCCAACAAGGACCCCAAATGGCTTCTAGATACTTGGGTCGGGCAGAAGAATCAGCACAAAGGTACGGGAGTGGCTTGGCCACACCCAGGGGAGCCCAGGAGATGGGGGCAAGCGTGGGGAGGCAGGATGCGGCGTGGGCAGCGTGTGTGAGTGGAGGGCCCAGGCCTGCCGCGGTCACAACTCCCATCCTGACACCTGCACCATGTCTGTGACCAACCTCATGTCTCAGGCGTCTCGGCAGGTAAAGACGCAAAAGGCTGTGCCCTGCCCTCCCCGGGTGTCCTCAGAGCCTCAGGTGGAAGCGAGCACTGCCCTGTGGGAGAGTGGAGGGCGGTTCCCGGGTGGGGCAGCACATGGGAGTGGGCGGGTGGCCTGGATGTGTCTGGCAGGTGCTCCACCGGGACCTGGGTCATGCTGATTGCCCTCCTTGACCTCGTCTTTACAGTAGGGAGGCTGAGCTGGACGTTTCAACGATCCTGCCATTTTAGCAACTGGAGGTTACCATAGGGCTCTGCGAGGAAGACGGGATGTCCTGCGTGAGGAAAGTGTAGCTCAGTGGGCGCCCAGGGCCAGAGGCAAGGCAAGAGGGCCGACAAAACAGCCTCCCGTGGAACTGAGTCCTGACTTAAGGGCCAATATGCCTGTGGAGATCGGCCACGCTGGAAACGCCTCTCTGCAGGGATCTGTGGCATTTTGTTTTGTTTTGAGAGACAGGGTCTCTCTGTGTCGCCCAGGCTGGAGTACAGTGCCATGATCACAGCTCACTGCAGCCTTGAGTTCCAGAGCTCACGTGATCCTCCTGCCTCAGCCTCCCAAGTAGCTGGGACCACAGGTACATGCCACCATGTCCAGCTAATTTAAAATTCTTCTTTGTAGAGACAGGGGGTCACTAAGTTGTCCAGCTGGTCTCAACCTACTGGGCTCAAAAGATCCACCTGCTTTGGCTTCCTAAAGTGCTGGGATTACAGGTATGAGCCATGGCACCTCCAGAGAGGAATCTGTCTATGGGTTTTAGCGGGTTGTGGGCTGTGAATAAGGACTAAGGGGTGTCTGGGACTCAGACGGGAAGGCTCTGATTGGCCCAGGCTGGGGCAGAACGTGTGAGGCTGTGGAGCATGTGCAAGGCTGGTTCAAGGCTGGGCGATTCTAAATGCATGGAAAGGTTTTCTTCTGAGCCTGCAGGCGTTCACACGAAGGCCTCAGCAACGCCTCAGTCCCTGAGGCGAGGAGCTTATTTAATTTCACTCAACAAATATTAATTGAGCATCTGTAGCAGGCAAAGCACTGGGTTGGATTCTGTGGGCAATCCAGCAGCAAGGGTGGGGAAGCTCTGCTCAGTCCGGAGGGGACGAGATGACACAGCTCACTCCAGCGCAGGCGACGTGGGAACGCAAAGTGTCCCCGAAGGCCTGGATGCGTGTGCGTGGCGTGTTACAAACAAGCTCAGGCACTGTCCAAGGTACTCATCTCCGGAGGACGATAAAAGCCTTTTTACCCAGTAAGATTGGGAACGGTCGT